GAAAGCTGTAGGGTGCACAGTGCTGATGTTTACACAAGACTGAGAAATTTCTGTGTTTTCAGCAGCATACACGTCTCATTGGGTAGCACCTTAAGGGGTAAGAGGAAGAAATAACAAACTGCTAGACAGGGTGGGGAGACTGTACAGTTAACTACAATGTTGACATAGATGAGAAAACTAACTTTAGAAAAACCAGTAAAATTAACAGCCAGGAAATGGATTCCCTTACAAGGAAATATAAATAATATGATTTGAATATCAAAATAAATGCTTAAGTTCCTCAAAGAGAAATGAAAAGCTTCTATTAATGATGGCCTAACTTATTCTGACCAACTTTCTAAGTGGGAGTAAATCAACCTTTGAAAACTTCAAAGAAAGAGTAACATGGTGAAGGAATATTAACTACATCCAAATCTTAGGAGAGGACAAAACCAGAAATTAACCAAGCACTGAAAGGTGCATTGAATCTGAGGATACCTGAGATGCTAAGCTAAGACTTTTGAGAGCCTTAAGAAGTGAGAGAGAGAAATGTCCAAATAATTCTACTCAGAGTGAGATGTCTGATAACTCTTCTCATATTCTCCTGCTACCAATGACTTAACAGTCTCAGAATAGTAGTAAACCAGTTTTCCTGTGACTTCTAGACCTGGTTTATATCACTGGAGTAGACTGAATTTAAGGAATTAGTTAACATTCCTATACTAGTGTTTTTAGAGGTTGGTGTAAGAAAATACAGATCTTTTCTGGAGGAAAGGTACCTTTAATTTTAGGCCTCAAAATATTTTGACATTAATCATTCAAACACCAATGTGTAGTCTGCTTTGACTATCCAGGCATATGAACAAGGAAGTAAGACCCCATAGTAGCATCCAGCATGAATAAGACAATAGAAAAAGACCTGTAAAGACATAAGATGTGAAGAGTTGTCAGACACAAACTGCTAAATAACAGTATTTATTACCAGTTGGAGAGAAAAGTCAATGTGTACATCTTCGGCAGAATATAAGGAACTCTGTTTTTTCTTTAAAGTGATTTCCTTTACTTTATCATTATAGTTATTTTCAGTTTGACCAGAGTGAGACAGACAGACAGAAGACAGACAGACAGACAGACAGACACACACACACACACACACACACACACACACACACACACGAGCGGCAGGTGGGGAGAAAGTGAGAAAGCTTCAGGATTCGAACCGTGGTTAGCCATGTGGGAGTCCAGCGCCCCCAACCACCATGCCACTTGCCGGCCCCAAGGAATTTGTTTTTTAAAAAACACAGAGTAGTTGGCTTCAAAGGTTGGTACATAAAAACACTTAACCATAAAAGATAAATAAAAAACAATACATTTTAGTGTATTTGAATTAAAAACTTATCAAAACACACCATATGGGCAAAAAAAGCCCTGAATTGGTAGAAGATATTACACCACATATAATCAAAAATGGACTGCCTTCTCCAATCTGTATACATCTCCTTCCATTAATAAGAAAAACATCTGCTGCCTTTATTAGACATTTTGCAGAAGAAACTTCATAAACAAGATCTTCAGCTTCTGTTATATTTTGAGAAATTCAAAGTAAAATTCTAATGATAGGCTGTTAACAAACCTATGAAATTGACAGACATTGAGAAGTCTGACAGTGTCAACTATGTTAAATATATAGACCAACAGGAACCATGAGATTGGGAGTAATTGGTACTTAGAAAGATTTTTGTTATTATCTGGTAAAGCTGAAAATATATATAGTATAGCAGTTGTGCCAGAACAGATAAACTAGAAAAATCGGTGCACAGATTTACCTAGATACTAAATGAGAAATGTTTAATTTAAAATTGTTTAGACACCACAGGAAACAAACCTAATGTCTACCAGTAAATAAACAAACTGTCCAGCAACAACAAAAATAATCCACACAGCTGCCTGTGAATCTAAGTTCTAAAAGAACGTTACAAAAAGTGAATTCCAAAATTACACTAAGACCGAATAATATAAACAAATCTCCAAAAACACAAAGTTGTTTTCAAGAAAAAAATATAGAAATACTTAAAGTCCAGCACCATACTTAAAAACTTCAGAAAGAGGACAAATAAAACTGTGTTTCTTGATTAACATTTTTTTCTTTCTTTTTTTGGAGAGGTTTTTGCTATAGGGCGCATGCGCTTGCCAGAAAGACAGACAGAGAGACAGAAAGCGAGAAATCATCCCCCCAGGGCGGATGGCCACACCGCAATCCCCTCTCCTCCATTCTCCTTTCAGGATCTTGGGCACGCACGCACATGTGCCTGGTGTGAGTTTAAGCCGCCAGGTCCGGGAGTCAAATCACGGTTGACTACGTGGTAATCCAGCGACATAGCCATTACACTAACTGCTGGTCCCTTGATTAACATTTTTTTTTTTTAATCTTTTTTTTTTTTGGAGAGATTTTCACTGTAGGGCGCGTGCGCTCGCCAGACAGACAGAGAGAGACAGAGACAGAAAGCGAGAAATCACCCCCCAGGGGGGATGGTCACGCCGCAATCCCTCCTCCTCCATTCTCCTCTCGGGATCTTGGGCACGCACGCACATGCGCCCGGCGTGAGTTTTAAGCCACCGGGTCCAGGACACGAACCGCGGTCGACTACGTGGGAGTCCAGCGACATAGCCATTACACTAACTGCTGGTTCCCTTGATTAACATTTTTTAGTTTTAAGCAGTTATTTTTAATGATATTATAATGGTTTTATGTTGAGATACCCAGAGTGCTAAAATCAAGGAGAAGTGCTAATATTTTTGTTGAAATATAGTGCCTACATGGAAGTGTGCTATAAAATTATCCATTACATGTGTTGTGTGTACTTTTCCCTTTGTTATTTTATAGTAATACATCTTAGAAGAAACTACATAAAAACATTTTAATATCCCTTAAAGTAAAATACAAAAGAAAAATAGGTTGACACAAATCAAGGACAGCATTGAAAGTACCAATTAGAAATCCTGGATAATCTAAGATAAAAACTTTTAATGCACAGAATAAGCTATTCACTTGACACAGGGAATTAATGAAGAAGGTTCTAAGGAATTTATATGGGAAAATATTAATTAAATTTAAAATTGAATTTTAAAAATGAAAATCCAAATTTTTTTTTTTTAGAAATTTTTGCTATTAGGGTATGTGCACTTGTTGGAGAGAGAAACGGAGAGACAGAAAATCACTCCCCAGAAGAATGACCATGTCGCAATCCTTTCTCCATTTTCCTCTCGAGATTTTGGGCACCCATGCATATGTACCTGCATGAGTTTCAAGCCGCTGGGTCCAGGACTTGAACCACAGTCAAACAAGTGGGAGTCCAGCATCTTGACCACTATGCCATCTGCTGACCCTGGAAATCTTAAATTTTCAAAAAAATTGAAGGAACTTATTTATATAGTTAACTAGGGATACAGGGGGAAAAGTGGAAAAGTCCTAACATATTTATTTGTTAATTTACTTATCTTTTGGAGAGGTTTTTGCCATAGGGCGCGTGCCAGAAAGACAGAGACGGAAAGTGAGAAATCACCCTCCATAGTTGATGGTCATGCCGCAATCCCTTCTCCTCCATTCTCCTCTCGGGATTTTGGGCATGCACGCAACATGCTCCCTGCATGAGTTTAAGCCACCCGGTCCGGGACTCGAACCACGGTCAGCTGCATAGGAGTCCAACGATATAGCCGTTACAACTGCTGGTCCCACCTAACATTTTTATTTTACTTCACTGAGGGAATGGCTTCTAGAAGAAGCTGGGTGGTATGTACATTATAATAAATGTAACCATTAGTGATGTTAAATGTTAACATGAGTTTCAAGTATGCATTATAATCAAAGTAATTGGCCAAATTCAGTAGCCCTAATCAGTTCTTTTAGATATATGAGAAATTAAGGTATGGAAGTTTAAAATGTAGTGTTTTAAATGGGATTATTAAACCACTGGACCAAGAAAAAAGTGTTTCATTTTTTTAGAGTACACTCAAAGGAACTTTATTTGGCTAAACATTGTAACTATAAGTTCCACAATTATAGCTTATTTTGAAAAATTTTTGCTTAACTTTTAGCTATGGTGGTATCCACTGCTAAAATGCTGTGCTCTGCAGGCTGAGACCACATGAAGTCTCAAGTTCAAGTCCTGGACCATCTTGAAGCCCGGGAGCCTGCAATCCCAATTACTCAGAGATGCTGAAGCAGGAGGATCTTGAGTTTAAGGCTGTTCTGGGCAACATTGGGAGAATCTGTCTTGTTTGTTTTGTTTTTCTCAAAAGAACTGGGAATGACAGTGTGATCCAATAGTGTCAACTGGGAAGCTGAATCAGGAACAGTGAAATCTGCTTTAAACTTATTGATTGTAAAATGAAGCAGTATATGTATATACTTAATTTTTTTTTTTTTTTTGTTAAAGTTGCTTTTTTTCTCTTCATGAAAGACAGAGGCAGACATCCTCAACAGAGTCTTTATGCTGTGGTTCTCCACTGAGCCCTGCCGCCAAATGGCTCACAGGCAGATCCAGGAAATACACCTGGAGCCTTTCCCATACAGTCTCCAGAATCAGAAATCAGCAGCATCCTTACTACTTGTGCTAACAGAGCCGGTCCTGAAACATTATATATTAAAACCACTATTTTTTTCTTTCAAAGTAATAATCTCTAAACTGAGCAGGGAAATTCTGATATAGTTCACAGAAAGATTTTTATATATGAATACTAATTTGGAGGGAACTCATCTGTCTCTACAACGCAATGTACATTTGTATCAGAGAGAGCCATCTTTGTCATGGTTATATACAATCTTGGCCTCTTGTTTGTCCTATCTTATGAACTTCTCTCATTCCAAAAATGCAGTTTATGTTGTCATATCCTAAGAAGTGTGTGTAGATATTATATACAATTGTCCCTGAATATATGAAATGTGTCTAGATGTAGCTTGGAGGTATGTAAATATATTCTTAATTGAAATATAACTAATTTTATTTTTACTTTCTAAACAGTTGAACCCACTGTGAGCCTGATAAAAGGGCCAGATTCTTTAATTGATGGAGGAAATGAAACAGTAGCAGCAATTTGTATTGCAGCCACTGGAAAACCAGTTGCACGTATTGACTGGGAAGGCGATCTTGGGGAAATGGAATCCACTACGACTTCTTTTCCAAATGAAACTGCAACAATTGTCAGCCAATACAAACTCTTTCCAACCAGATTTGCTAGAGGAAGGCGAATTACTTGCGTTGTAAAACATCCAGCCCTGGAAAAAGACATCCGATATTCTTTTGTATTAGATATACAGTGTAAGTAAATGGTAACATTTGCCTTGTCAATATGTCATGCGTTTTAATTTTCTTCCTTTGACATATTTCTTTATCAAACTGTATTTCGTTTGCATGCTTAGTAGTCACATATTATAACTTCACCTTGATAACATTTTTTTCTTTTTCATTTTTTGTTTGTATTCTCATGGAACTTTCACTTAACCAGAACATTTTTAAATTAGTTTTATAAATATGGACAGATGACTTCAAAGCTGTTCTCCAACTTGAAATTATTTAATATTGGCCTTTTAAACTTTAAAAGTAGGCTGGACTTCAATGGAGTTGTGGAACTTTGTAATTCAAAATGTTTAGTGCTTTGAGACAAGTTCCCCGTTCTAAATAATTAAGTTGTTACTCAGTTTCATTGATATTACTCATGCAGCTTTCAGCAAGAATCATTTTCTTTTCTAGATGCATATTAGTTTGAAAAATGCATCTTTTTATAATCTAATCTAACCTTATTGATTATGTCATGATATTCTCATGTTGGTAAAACAATATTTTATAGACGTAATTGGAGTAATAACCCCTGTAGATAAGGTTCAAAGTTGGCTAGCCTGTACTTCCTTTTTGTATTATAGAGTACTCGCCTGTGTGTGTGTGTTTACATATTCTTCCTTTATACACCTTCTCAGTATTTGCTGAATTCTTTGTGATTTGTGTTGCTTTTAAAAATTTTAAGCCAGAGGAAATGTGATAATTACAGATAGTTTATGGCAGAGATAATAAAGATTAGGCAGAGTAGAGAGAAAACTAGAAGAAATAATTCAATTCTGTTGTAATTTCCATCCAGGCATAGATTATAAATCTGGATAGGCTTTTGAAGAAGTTCTTTTGTTGTTGTTAACTCTTTTGTGTTTCCATACGGTGTGCATAGAGTTTTAAATGACAACATATTCATGATACTTGGTGTAAGGGATTCTAAAGCTAATTCCGAGGATCATTGTAAACATGTATATAGGATTAAACTTGAAGAACTATAAATGTTGTTGTATTACCATTGTATTATTGAATGCTAATACCATCTATTTTCCTCACTTCTCTGGGGGAATCCAATTAAATATTTTATTATTCCTTTTCCTACTTTGCCTTCACAGACCCTTAATTTTTTCCTTTTTCTCGTAAAATTCAGATCCCAATTGTAAGTACTATTAATATTTTTTTCTTTTTTTTGTCTCTGTGTCTTAATTATGACTGAAATTTTATTCAGTTTGTATATTTATAGTTATAAATTTTTTGCTTGCTTGAATGCAATCCTAGATATATATAAACTAATTCTAATGCAATTCTTTATAACAATGGTTCAGTTTATTGGCTTGCTCCTAAAACATCCTTAGAGTACTCATGACATTTTTTTGTTTTAAAATTGGAGCTCTGTAAAACATGTGAATGAAGTTTAAGGAGATAATTTTTTATATCCAAAATGTATACCTCAAAATCTGGAGGTATTCTTTGAGGTAATTTAAAGCCTTGCACTGCCCCCTTTTTAAATTGTAAGTTTAAAAACAGAAAAGGGAAATGAGCAGCAGTACGATGGTAGCAATTCAGGGAAGGAGGGTGGCGCTCCAAGGCCAACACAGCAGCTCTGACCTTACACGCCCTTAGTGGGGACAAGTTCTCCCCGGCAGTACCAGCCTCAGGCTGGCTTTCTCCATTTAAAAAGAGATTAAACCCACAGATAATCGAACTGTTCTTTTTAGCAATATTCTTTTGAACCAGTTTTTAAATTACAGAGATATTTGTTCAATCTCAGGATTTATAAGAGGCAGACATTTCTTTTTTAAAATTATTAATAATTGTACCTCACTGAAAGTGGTTTTTTTTTTTTTTTTTTTTTTAAGCTTCCTTCTTGTGAACTTTGCTTTTCAGTAGATCAGGCTTTTTTGGCAATAATAAAGACTGACCTGGTCTCTCTGTAACCTCTCATCTGGCCATGTGCTACTTACTTAGTTTTCTGTGTAGCTCACAAAAGCTGGAGGTTCCCTATACCATGCAAAAGTAATACTTGTTTAGGGAAGTCTTTCATGACCTCTTTTACCTCCATTCCACGCTAAGGCCTTTCTTATCTTCTTTCTTTGCAGCCTATTCTTTGCTTTCTTGGCCCCCATAACAGGGTTTAGTTAAAAATTTTTAGATATTATCTTCTCTATACTATTAAAAAGTATATTTTACGAATACAGAAACTGTCTCTGTACCAAACACCTGAAACAGTGCCTGGCATTCTCTGGGAGCTAAATAGAGAGATGGTTGAATGAATGACAGGTATTGGTCTTTGTAGTGTGAAACATACATTTATGTTGCTGGTAGATTCGGGTATTGGTCGTTCAGCTACTTAATGGTCCACATGTGGTAAATGAGCTTTAAGTACATGAATAGATAATAATTTGTTTTAGTATAGCTGAGGCTCTAAATAACTTATGTCTGTTCTAAGTACATAGTCTTGAAACATCTGTGTCACAGGCTGGCCTATGGCTTAGTGGTTAGGGGAGCTGGATCCCACAAGGCTGACTATGTTGTTTGAATCCTGACCCCAGTGGCTTAAAAACATGCCAGGCATGTGTGTGTGCCTGCCTCAAATCTCAGGATGGAGAAACAGGAAAAGGGATCGTGGCATGACCATGCCCCTTTGGAGGGTGCTTTTCCTCCTTCCTTTCCATTTCTCTTGTCTGTCTGTCTGTCTGTGGTGAGCACATGTGCCCTCTGGTAAATGAAAAAAAGTTCGTATCACATCTCTATATGCCCATAAATGATAATTGTTAATCTAAGGAGTCTAATTTCTGTAATTTACTTAGTAACTCTTAGGGAATGTTTTCTTTTAGAGTACTACCTCTTAAAAGATAGTTTTATATGTCTCATTATTTATTTAAGTAAGATAATGTATTTATATATTTCTACATCTCATACTAGGACTTCTGTATTTTGCTATTGGCTATTATCAGTTTATGAATATTCTTACATTCTACATCCCTAGTAACTGGAAATGTACATGTTTATAGTTGTCTAGTGTTTGGGTACTCATTGTTCATTCATTCCTTCATTCATTCCTTCTGTCAACTTGTATTTATTGGTACTGTCTGTCACGTAGACTGTATATATTGAGAGTAAAGAAAAATTATTCTGCTTCTAAAGCTTAATCTGTTGTGTTAATGCTTTATTGTTGTATATTGCATTTATTTTCAACAAAAGATAAACTGTCATTCTTTTTTTTTTTTTTTAATATATAGATGCTCCTGAAGTTTCAGTAACAGGATATGATGGAAATTGGTTTGTAGGACGAAAAGGTGTCAATCTCAAATGTAATGCTGATGCAAATCCACCACCCTTCAAATCTGTGTGGAGCAGGTAATATTAAATATTTATAAAGAGAAATTATTTGAAAGCAAATAATTCTCAAGTTTAACATTAGAACAGTATAACGCATGCGTAGAGTTAATATCTAAAAATTTTATCGAAATGTCTTCCAAGTGTTCTCTGGTTTCACCCCCTTCACCTTACCGTCCTCTCAGTTCTGTTCTTCAGTGGCTTCTTTTGCCATTATAGCAATTTCTTTTTTTTTTTTTTAATCTTTTTTGGGGGGGGGGGGGAAGAGGTTTTCACTATAGGGCACGTGCGCTCACCAGACAGACAGAGAGAGACAGAGAGACAGAAAGCGAGAAATCACCCCTCGGGGGGGGATGGCCATGCTGCAATCCCTTCTCCTCCATTCTCCTCTTGGGATCTTGGGCACGCATGCACACGCGACTGGCGTGAGTTTTAAGCCACCGGGTCAGGGACGTGAACCACGGAACCACGGTTGACTACGTGGGAGTCCAGCGACATAGCCATTATGCTAACTGCTGGTCCCCCATTTTAGCAATTTCTTTTGGTAATTACTGCAATAGGTAATTTTTTTCAAATTTTAAAAAATTACTTATTTAATTTTATTTATCATCATTACTATTTTTAAAAATTTGTTACACGGCCTGTGTGCTCATCAGAAACAGAGAAAGAGAGAAAGAAAGGGAAAAAGCAAGGCACCAGGTCTGGGACTTGAACCTCAGTCGGCCATGTGGGAGTCCAATGCCTTAATCACCGTGCCACCTGCTGGTCCTCCATAATAGGTCTTAACTTGCTACTTGATTTACCAGTTTTTAACCCTGTCAACCTTGATAGGTGAAGAATCATATACACATGCCTGTTCTTCACAGTCCAAATGAAATTAAGCTACTTTTAGTTAAACTCTGTAATCACTTTTTACTTCCCAGTAATGGGTAAATATTATTTACTGAGAGTATTATGAGGAGATATCAAATGGTTCATGAAAAAAATGGAATTAAGATACAAGTTCATCTTGGTGAAGAATATTTTGAAATTCATGTAAGGTTTTCATAATACGTATTTTCTTCTGAACTTTTGGAAAGACCCCTTGCATACCAGAAAACTCTCTTGTCTGCAGATATTTGTTTTTCACATGTTTACTCGTTGCCTCTCTATTTGTATGGTTTACTATCTGTGTAATTGTCTTTATCTATTAAATTTCAAAGTGTTACACTAATGTTTTTATTCATATTTATCATTATTTGGAGACCCATTTGAGTCTTAAGACTTGTACCTGTTAACCTGGTAATAATTTTCTTGTATTTTTTGTCATCCTTCATCCCTTATTTTTCTGTTCATTCTTATTGAAATGGCTACTTATTGTTTAATACTTTTTCTTTCATATTTTTCAACAGTTCTGCTTTTTTTGTGCATGTGCGTGTTCACCAGAGGGAGAGACAGAGAATGAAGGAGAATAAAAAGCACCTCACATGGGGAGTAGTCATGCTGAAGTCCCTTCTCCCTTTTCTTCCTTTTGGGATTAGGTACATTCATAGGCGCCTGGAGTGTTTCTCAAGCTGCCCAGGCTGGTACTCAAACCACATATCCATTAGTGATCTACCTGCCTCAACCACCAGGCCACCGAGGCAGCCTGATTTTCTTAAACAAATTTTTATTGACCTAATGATTTAAAAGCTTTTTTGCATATATTTATAAGAGCATTTTCGCATCCTCTTTATTTTCAGACCATTTTATGGATGGTAGTATCTTCCTTTCTTCCTAGAGATACTAGAGTTATTCCTCCCCAGAGAGGATTTTCTGCTTACTACATATTGTTTCTTTTTCCTCTAAGTTCTCTTGTTGTTCTTCAATTTGTTTGTTTGTTTAGAAATTTTATTTTGTAACTATCTCTTAATCTTCTTGGGTTGTCTAGTCATTTTCTAGTGAAGTATTTTAATAAAATGCTTGGTGGAAACTCTGTTAGTGGGGATTATTAATTAGGTTCCACTTGGAGTGATCAGGTGGTGAAGTGGTTATTTTTTTGGAGCACTCTAGTGTCACTAATGGAAGACTGGAAGTCTTTTCTTCATGACTATTCAGTGTATTTATTGAATTAACCTTAATTCTTTTGCCCAAGATATAAATGCCTGCTGTCTATACAGAGTTGCCAGGAACCTATTATTTTGTTTTGTAGCTTTCATCTTACCGCCTTATTTCTAACCCTCTTCTTCCCTCGGCCTTCTGTAGTACAGTTAGTCCAACTCTAAACTTTCCTTGGGTTCTTTGGAATGAACTGGCTGTTTTCTCATCCATAAACCTCTTGCAAGCAACTCTTCATCCTAAAGTAAAGCCTTTCGACTTTGGGGTTATTGACATTTTTGGCTGGATTATTACTGTCTGTGGTGGAAAGTCCCTTGAATTGTAGGGTATTTAGTAGCATCTCTGGCGTCTATCCTCTACAGCCAGTAGAATCCAATCCTCTTAACCCCCAATTCTGACAAAAGGGTCTCTAGACATGACAGATGTTCTCCAGAGATAAAGTCACTCTTGATTGAGAAACACCAACCTAAAGCGTTTGTGTTTTCTTCAAGCTGCCCAGGCTGGTACTCAAACCACATATCCATTAGTGATCTACCTGCCTCAACCACCAGGCCACCGAGGCAGCCTGATTTTCTTAAACAAATTTTTATTGACCTAATGATTTAAAAGCTTTTTTGCATATATTTATAAGAGCATTTTCGCATCCTCTTTATTTTCAGACCATTTTATGGATGGTAGTATCTTCCTTTCTTCCTAGAGATACTAGAGTTATTCCTCCCCAGAGAGGATTTTCTGCTTACTACATATTGTTTCTTTTTCCTCTAAGTTCTCTTGTTGTTCTTCAATTTGTTTGTTTGTTTAGAAATTTTATTTTGTAACTATCTCTTAATCTTCTTGGGTTGTCTAGTCATTTTCTAGTGAAGTATTTTAATAAAATGCTTGGTGGAAACTCTGTTAGTGGGGATTATTAATTAGGTTCCACTTGGAGTGATCAGGTGGTGAAGTGGTTATTTTTTTGGAGCACTCTAGTGTCACTAATGGAAGACTGGAAGTCTTTTCTTCATGACTATTCAGTGTATTTATTGAATTAACCTTAATTCTTTTGCCCAAGATATAAATGCCTGCTGTCTATACAGAGTTGCCAGGAACCTATTATTTTGTTTTGTAGCTTTCATCTTACCGCCTTATTTCTAACCCTCTTCTTCCCTCGGCCTTCTGTAGTACAGTTAGTCCAACTCTAAACTTTCCTTGGGTTCTTTGGAATGAACTGGCTGTTTTCTCATCCATAAACCTCTTGCAAGCAACTCTTCATCCTAAAGTAAAGCCTTTCGACTTTGGGGTTATTGACATTTTTGGCTGGATTATTACTGTCTGTGGTGGAAAGTCCCTTGAATTGTAGGGTATTTAGTAGCATCTCTGGCGTCTATCCTCTACAGCCAGTAGAATCCAATCCTCTTAACCCCCAATTCTGACAAAAGGGTCTCTAGACATGACAGATGTTCTCCAGAGATAAAGTCACTCTTGATTGAGAAACACCAACCTAAAGCGTTTGTGTTTTCTTTCTTTCTTTCTTTCTTTTTTTTTTGTTTTTACTGACAGAGAGGACACATGCACTCTAGAGAGCAAGAGATAATTGACTCCCCATTAGGGTACAGCCATGCCGCAGTTTTTTCCGTTCTATCCTCCTATTCCCCTTCATCCTTCACTCTTCATTAATCCCCCCCTCTTTCCCGGGCAAGTGCACACATGCCACTGGGACTGGGATTTGTACCATCCTTCTTATCTTCTGTCTTCTAAAATTGTGCTTTACAATCTTTGTTGAATTGTACCTTTTGTTGTTTCTCCTCATGAGGATATTAATGACTTTTTAATTCCTTGTCTTCGTTTTTTGGTGGGAGGTGATAGTAAGAAAACAGTATATTTGGTCAAGCTGTTGTTTGCAGGCAAAAGTACAGTTTTAAAAGTAAATAAGATCTTGGGAACCAGCAGTTAGCGTAATGGCTATGTCGCTGGACTCCCACGTAGTCGACCGCGGTTCGTGTCCCGGACCCGGTGGCTTAAAACTCACGCTGGGCGCGTGTGCGTGCGTGCCCAAGATCCCGAGAGGAGAATGGAGGAGAAGGGATTGCGGCGTGACCATCCCCCCTGGGGGGGTGATTTCTCGCTTTCTGTCTCTATGTCTCTCTCTGTCTGTCTGGCGAGCGCACGCGCCCTACAGTGAAAATCTCTCCAAAAAAAAAAAAAATATATATATAAACGAATAGAAATGATCTTATTTACTTTCTGAGACAGAAAGCGAGAAATCACCCCCCAGGGGGGATGGTCACGCCGCAATCCCTCCTCCTCCATTCTCCTCTCGGGATCTTGGGCACGCACGCACACGCGCCCGGCGTGAGTTTTAAGCCACCGGGTCCGGGACACGAACCGCGGTCGACTACGTGGGAGTCCAGCGACATAGCCATTACGCTAACTGCTGGTTCTCTATTCGTTTATATTTTCTTAAAAGTGAGAAGCAGTCACTATTTAAGATACCAATTTGATTAGGATATTTCTAAAAGCCATATAATTTCTGGATTCTCATCCTAGGATCCTGTACTTCTAGATGCCGTTTTGAAATCAATCATTTAACTTCTCTAATCCTAAATTTCCTTTTCAATAACAGTACTTCATGAGAATTTTCTTTTCTTTTTTTGGAGAGGTTTTTGCTATAGGGCGTGTGCGCTCGCCAGACAGAGAGAGACATAAAGCAAGAAGTCACCCCCCAGGGGGAATGGCCACACCGCAGTCCCTTCTCCTCCATTCTCCTCTCGGGATCTTGGGCACGCACACACATGCGCCCAGCGTGAGTTTTAAGCCACCAGGTCGGGAAGTGAACAGCAGTAGACTCATAGTCACGTGGGAGTCCAGCGACATAGCTGTTATGCTTATTGCTGGTCCCTTACTGTGGTTTATTTTTAATAAACAACTTTAAAAGATTGTAAGCCATTTTTATATTTTTTTAGAGA